AAGTTTAGGTACAGTGGGTATTTTAGATGATTTGACAAACAAATTAGTTAAGAACAAGAAAGTTATTTTATCCAAGAAATTCTTAGGGTAACCGTTTCGGAAGAGAATTTTTTTTGCTTCCTATTATCACGCTCGTGTTTTGCTTTATCATTAAGTTTTATTTAGTAACAACTGTTGATAATGTGCCTGAGGTATTTGAACTGCGTTAATCAGCTCAAATATTATGAAATTACTTTTGCTAACTCAGAATGACATTCTACACTTGACCCACATACGTTTTGTAATTATCATAATTTATTAGTTTACCCACGTTACAGAACATCATAAAAAATCCTGAAGGATTTAACCCAACTAGAAGGTCATGAAAGCATGTGTGGGTAGCCGTGTGGTTCTATCACGGATGTGGCCCAAATTCATGGCTGTGCGTCAGCATACCTCATGATACATAAGTTAACAGAAATCGAGCAAGTTATGTTAGAACGTTATTAATATGATATTCAGATTACATTATAAGCATTTTATATTGAAAGTCTAATCAAAATATCAAGTGGAAGTTATATAGTTTTATAGGGTGTGTTTAGTTAACAGTTTTCGCAAAAAGATGTTGAAACTGGAAAAATAAATAATCGTTTGTAAAGTTGTTTGGCTGATACACCTCCCAGCGATACAGATTAATCAGTAACTCCACGAGAAGTGAACAAAGAAGACATAAATCCTCGTTTATCAAACCTAATACTGCAAATTATGACATAAGTTTGAAATCAAAGTTATTCTCGAATAACGCTGCCTCCTTTACATAAAACATAATTAAGAAGCCTCATGAACCAGCATCTATAAATATAGTTTTCAGCTACAGCTAAAAAATGTCTTATGAGTGTAATGCCTAATTTAATTTATCGGAGGTTTAAATAAAGCGAACGATGCACATTAATAGTGCTCACGACCTAAGCCTAATTACCAAAGAGTTAGAACATTTTAACACAAAAATATGATACTCTATAACCAGATCACTTTCGAAAGGTGAAGAAAGGTCCATCTTTCGAAAGGGCTCGGATTATTTATAGGGTATCGTATTTTTTCTGTTAAATTTATTTCTTAAACCTACGTGTTTTCCTAAAATCATGAGTTACAACATTTTTTATCAAATACTAATTACTAAACCTAATTACCAAAGAGTTAGAAGAACTTTTTATTAAATACTACTTATCTCATTCCTTTATTTCGGCTCCATACTGACGTCTTCAGCAGAGATCTAACGAAGACTTCTTTTACTTTTGTATAATAATGTAAATATGATTCTTTTAGTTCCCATGTGTTTCGTAAACATAACTATGTACGATACCTCTTTCAATGTAGCGCCGCTATAGTTACCGCTACAAGAAGAAAAATACAGCGGCGCTACTATTGCCGCTACATATTCATTATTATATATATATATATATACTTATAGTTTCTTTCCTAGTTACAATAAATAATTAAAATCAACGTTTACTATTTATACAATTAAAACTTTATTGAAGCTGTACTGCTTCCACTTTAAAACAACACCTTATAATTAATAGTTTCTAAGATGACGTAGATCACGTGGAAACTAGTACTTGTAGAGTGTTGTTTTAAAGCCGTATGGCTTCAATAAAGTTTTACTGTGAGTGAAAAGCAGCTCGAGAACGTAATCCTTATTGACAAAGGCAACTTGAAAGTTCTTCTCAAGTCCTAAAATCAATTCATTAACAAGTGGCTTGGCGAGGTTTACCACAAAGGTATTTCAGTTTTGTCAAACATGCAGTAAGTGTTGCCAGAAGTAGTTCCATACAGGCCTTGGTAAATCCAGCGCTTGTGCTACAGGTCGCATGATGATTACATATTCTTGGGATGTAATTGTAGCTCCTGGTAAAAATTAACAACAACTAAAATTCTGTTTAAGTGAAGAAAAACAACAATAAAACCGTGATTACACCTAATTCCGAACCACTAACCACATTGAGGAATTTAGTCGGCAGCAACCACTTTTACTAGTTAATGTTATCAACGTGCCTTTTTTTTTAAAGAACAAGTACTCACTGTAAGAAAGACGATTTTAATTCTACATTTAAGTAGTGTGGCGCTCACACCCAATAAGATCTTCTACTAGTAATTCTGTTCCACGTTGACACCCAGTAACATCATCTACTAGTAATTCCGTTCTACGCTGACACCCAATAAGATCTTCTACTAGTTATTCCGATCCACGCTGACACCCAATAAGATCATCTACTAGTAATTCCGTTCCACGTTGACAACCAGTAACATCATCTACTAGTAATTCCGTTCTACACTGACACCCAATAAGATCTTCTACTAGTAATTCCGTTCCCCGCTGACACCCAATAACATCATCTACTAGTAATTCCGTTCCACGCTGACACCCAATAAGATCATCTACTAGTAATTCCGTTCCACGTTGACAACCAGTAACATCATCTACTAGTAATTCCGTTCCACGCTGACACCCAATAAG